AAGTTATCTTCCACAATTATGATGGAAAAGATGTGAGAAAGGTTTTGAAGGATAATTGAGTTTTTAATCATGCTAATGCATGCATTAAATCGTTTACATTACTAATCTGGTAATATCTACAAATCCATGGTATTAACAATACACACCTTAATACATAATAGAGTGTAATATAGATAACATAAAAAGTGTACTAAACAAGATATTATTAATACACAGAGTTGATGCATGCATTATTTTTACTAATATTTATGATTTTGTTTCAAATATATTTTCTATAGTTTGAAGTCAAATGCTTATATGTTTTATATTATGAAAATCATATATTTACACCCCTATAAGGTATATTTATAAGTATATTAAAGCATAATTATTAAAATAAATTACAATTAAATAATTTTCTACTTATTTATTTCTATGAAATTTAATAAAATATACACACTTTTTTGTTAAAATTTTTCAATCGATCACGCCTTTGATTGTCTACAGAAAATAAATATTTTTAAAACATGTATCTTTCAAAATTCATAAATAGAAAATGAACGCAACCACTCTTCTAAACTAAATATGAGTATGCAACCTCAAATTATAAGTAAAAAGATAGTTGAACCAATATCAAATCAATATTATACTAAGCAATTAACAAAAAATCATATGCTAATTAATTAAGCATCCTTTACCAGTGCACACTCCTAAGATTATAATGTTTTAGCCAATCAGCTAGAAAGTAAAAGTAAGTTACCAAAATTATTTTCCATAATAGTTAATTAGTTGAAAAAAGGATGAAAATGAAAATTCCTCAATTCCTTCGAGCCACAAAATCTTAAGTACAAGATAATCTCTCAAAATCAGAACGGGTACATAAATATTCAAAAGTGTACAAAAGTTTGCCCATTTCTTATTTTTGATAACGTTCCATCCATTTTTATTAGGAAAAATTACCTAAATACACATCTTATTTTGTCATTATCGCTAAAATTTTATACCATTTAGTTTATTTTTCAAAAATCCCCTCTTGGATACATCTCTCCTTTCTCGTTGATACATCCCTATCTCCCTCTCGAATACATCCCTCCACTCTCTGATATATCCCATTCCTCTCTCGGATACATCCATCCCCTCTCAGATACATCTCTCCTCTATGTATCCAGATGTCTTATCCCCTCTATGATACATCACTCCCCTCTCGGATACATCCCTCCCCTATGTATCCCAATGTTTAGTGGTATATCCGAAATTCATAATTTTTTAAAAGATTCTTGTAATTTAAAAGTTATAGAAAAATAATATAATTAAATCTTAACACTATGAGATTTATGTAAATTATACTTTTTATTAAGCAAATGACATGCCGACTGATCACACAAATCTTTTGTTTTTCTTCCACGGCCTCCAAAGTTATAAACACATTCACAATTATTTGGTTTATAATTAATTTTAAGTCGAATTTTGCATAAAAGTTCAGGCAATATAATGGCAAACAACAATATGTCATCACTGACTTTTTTGCCCAACTAATACAAGTATAATATTTTTATTAGATCAGTAGGACATTGCTTGATTGCAACAAATGGTATGCATGCTCCCTCCATTTTAATTTGTCTGTTTTTTTTTCCTTTTCCGATCTATTTAAAAAGAATGTCACATTTTATTTTGGACAGCTTTTCAATTTTAATTTTTCACATAATATGTTTAAGATTACAAAATTAAAAGTTATTTCTTACATATATTATATACTACATATTTAAAAATCTTCTTTATTTTCTTAAACTTCGTATCAAGTTAAAATCAGATAATAAATTGAAGTAAAACAATATTTCTTATTATGATATATATAATTGAAATGATGATACCATGGAAACAAATCAACGAGATTAAATGGTCATGTACATTATAATTTGGAAATAGTAACCCAATTAACCCCACTATGATAGAGCTAGAGAATTCTGACATCCTCCGCATGAAAGAAATAAGATGTGACAAATTAATAAAGTGATGGAGCATAGAACAATAATCAGAAAGATAAATTTAAATATATAAATGCACTCGTGAGTTGGATCTTTGTCATTTGTTGCGCTGCTACAGCCAAATGGTATTGCAGCAGAGCAATAATTGTTGGGAATGATTTACCTAACATTTTGCTTAAATCTCCTAATTTGGATTGTGAGAAAGAAAAAGGGAAAGTGAAAGTCACCAAGAAATCGAAGGAAATTCAAATTATTGGAGATAGAAGAAAAGTACCAAAACAAACTTAAATATAGTAAATTTACGTGGTTTAGTGCAAACACACGGTGTGGATAAACATTTATCAACAAATTCACATACAATTTTGTTTATTATAGAGTCTTTTACTGAAGAGCAATAAGTTCAACAATTTTAAGAAACCCTTATGAAAGTATGAAAAATAATTTAGTTGTTTTCACAGGTCAATTTACAGAAAGTGCCTTGGTTAATTTCATGTAAGAAATCAAAGCAATGGAAGCTAGGATTTGCTAATTGTTTTCGGTATATTCATTCTTCTCTCTCAAATGTACAATAAAGAAAGTTACTAACAGACCTAATCAGGTGCTACTGCTGGTGTAACCAATTTTGTATTTTTGTACAAAACTAATCATCTTTCTAGAAGAATTTGATTCTTTATAATAATGCTAAGTATATACAGGTCATTCATTATATCTCTACAAAGTTTAGGCTTAAGTTATCGACCGCCCCTTAAAGTTGTCCGGATAATTCACTTAGACACCTTAACTAAGACTTGTACCTATTGAACACCTAAATTGTTCAAAACATGTACCTATTAAACACAAAATGCTGATATGGCAAAAAATGTGTTTTGCACTTCCCTGAAACGCGTGAAAAGATTCAAAATAGTATCTTTTTGAATTTTTTAAATATTTTTTCTTCTTTTATTAACACTTGGCATTATAATTAACTTAAAAACATTTTTCTTTTTTCATTTACACTTTTTTCAAAAAAGAAAAGGACCTCACTCCCTACCTATCATCTTCTTCATACTTTAGTTTGCAAAACTTTCTTCATTTTAGTTCCAACATTGTTTTTCTTTCTTTTTTATAAAAAAAGGAATATTATTTCTTCCAAATATGAAGATAAATGAAAATCAACAATGAAGATTCAGATTTGAAAGAAAGTAAGACTTTCTTTCGTATGATTTATTTCAAATCTTATAAAAATAAGGAACAAATATGAAGAAGAAGAAAGAAGATAAATGATTTTTACCTATAAAAAAGGTTAGCCGATATTTGTTTATCACAATTTTCGAACAAAGATTTTTACTCAAATTCATATATAAACCCATTAAATTTATCAAAAATGACATTAAAAAATTTGAAAGAATTAATTTTTGAGCTATCAATTTCATTTTGTCATCGATGTAGAAATGAATAATCGCCAGCAAAATTTTCTTTCTTCTACACTCTTAGTATGAAAATGTATATATATCTTTTTTTAAAGCTAATCTTCAAGTTATTTGAAAAGAATTAGATTTTGTGATTTGAGAAAGAATGTGTTTTGGGAAGAAGATGAAGATGAAAGGGGGTTGGATAGGGGTGGGATTGGGTAGAATAGGTTGACATTTTCATTTTTTTTCTTTTTCTTTTTAAAAAAATTAGATATAAAAAGTGTTTGAAATAATTTTAAACAAAATTATTTTTTTTATAATTTTTGGGGCCTAATGCCACATGTTATTTTTTAATTAGCCGTTTTGCCACGTCATCGCAAGTGTATCACACACTCTTCATATATTTTGTTGATTATCAAAAAATGCCTAATAGGAACAATTTTTAAATTGGTAAAAGTGTTCAATAAGTACTAGTCTTAGTTGAGGTGTCTAAGTGAATTATGCAGACAACTTTAAGGGATCGCTGATGACTTAAGCCCAAAGTTTATGTATGATATTTGCATTCATCATTTAGTCCTTCATAGACCAAGACAAGTTGTGGGCCATAAATTGGAGTGGCAATAATTAAGGAAAAACTATCTAATTATACAAATATTTCTATAATATTTATTAATTTTTTCTATAGTTTAAAATAATTACGTATTGTCTCACTAATTAATAAATTTCATATTAGATTTCAAATCAAATACACCTAGATACTTATATTTTTAGTATCAGATACACTTTTAAATACAAATATATATGGAGAGAAGCAAATGAGAGGGAAAGATGCGAACAAGAGAGGGGTGAGAGGAGAGGCGAGCGAGTCATAGAGTCATTATATCCCAGATAAATGTGAATCATATTAGATACATGTATCTAGGATACCTAATTAATATATTCAAGATGCATTCGGACATACAGATACATAAGGAGAGATGAGAATGGGATAGGAGAGAGGCAAGCAAGAGAGTCATTGTATCCCAGATACCTGCGAATTCACTCAAATACAATGTATCTGGGATAAATTACACCTAGTTTTGACCCTATATATTCGAGATACATGTATATGAACGTGTCAAATACATGCATATTTATCTGGGGATCGAAATCTGACAGAAATGGTAATTTTGAAAACTCACCACAAGGAAAATGAGTTGATTTGGAAAACATTTTACCCAACCAAACATGAGAAAATTGGAAAACAGTTTTCGAAAAATGTTTTCCTCCATACCAAACACACCCTTCGTGTCAGCTGAGTTGGGTGGTTTGGTCTCCTTCAACACTTCAGTCTTCAGCTAGTTTTGCTGTCTTCCTCTTTAGCTTTTGAATGTTGTTGTTCCATTTTGTGTCTGGCTTAGAGTTCAACATTAAGTTGTATTTTTCTTACATATATATAGTTTAGATTAGTTCAAATCTAGTTAAACTCATTTTTTCCCACCTCTGGATTCCTTTGATTATAAAAAAAAAAAAAAATCAATTCACTTACTTGCTAAGGACACTAATATTGTATTCAATTTAAGTCAGTGGTAGAGTAAGGCTATTAGTTCTATGTTCTCTTTTGTTGTATGAAAGATTGAAAAGAAGAGAAATAACAACTTCATTACCACAAGAAGTTAATATCTTGAAAGTTATTTAGAGACAATTAAACGACTTAAATTTGACACAATACATCACGATTAATAGACATACAACATGAACATCAATATAGTAATAATTGATATTTTACAACAAGATCATCGATCTGCTTCTCTCGATCCCTCACACACTCCGCAATTTAGGAATAACAAAAAGTGAATCTTTCTTAAACATGGTGACATCCAATACCTCATCCATGTTAATCTTAGCCGGATCCATTTCATTTGGCAGAATCCAATCGAACTTATGGATCAATGAAGCGACAGCTAACGGAATAAACCTTGATGCCAAGGGTTCTCCAGCACATATTCTTCTCCCCGAACCAAAAGGAAGATACTCAAACTTTTGCCCTTTGTTGTTGAATTTTGAATTGATAAATCTTTCAGGTTTGAAGCTCGAAGGATCGTCCCAAATCTTTGAATCCCTTGCAATTGCCCACATATTGACCAGCACTTGAGTGTTTCTGGGAATTCTGTACCCCATGACTTCACATGTTTGCACTGCACGGTGAGGGAGCAACAACGGTCCAGGAGGATGCAACCTTAGTGTCTCTTTAAAACAAGCGTCCAAGTATGGTAAGCTTGGCAAATCGGATTCCTTTATAATGCCCTTACCTCCTCCTACTACTTGTGATATTTCATCACGGAGTTTTTGTAAGGCTTGTGGATTTCTAAGGAGTTCTACAAGCATCCATTCACTCGTAGCAGTCGTAGATTCTGTTCCAGCTCCAAATATTTCCTGAAAGATCAAAGAAATAGAAAATAATTATTAAATACGATAAGTCATTTTCTTTATTGAAAAAAGTGAATGTCTCAAATAATAATTATCAGTTGAGTGACGTACCACAAGCAATGCATTGACATGTTTATCAGTGAAACCATTTTTAACCAAAGCATCTACAAAATCTACAGCATCCTAACTATCTCTTTTTATTTTGTCCTGAACAAAGTCTCCCCAAACAGCGCACATAATATCAAACATACCCATAAGTTTCTTATAAGTCCCCTGGAAATCCGTACAGAAAATACCCAAAACAGGAAACAAATCTGATAATTCCAGTATATTACCCGCCTCTGAAAATTTACGCAAGTACTCACTTAGTCTTGCACCAATTCCCTTTCCTTCATAATCAATTAAATCTACTGAAAGAAGTAAATTACCCAACACATTTAACGCGGTCACAAAAACCACGAACTTTATTTTAATCACTTGTCCCTTTTTAGTATCTAAATATTGCATCATTTCCCTGATTTTCATCTCCCTTAAACTTACTTGTGATTCCAATGCTTTGTTAGAAAACAGGGCTCCCCTGTATATAGTTCGAACGTTTTTCCAATTCTCATCACACTCTTCTAAAAAAGCAGTTGACACATTGTGAAGTTTCGATCCCTCAACTCGGATGGGATGAGAAACGAAACGACCAGAAAGCATACGATCAAGTGTTTTAAGTACCTCTGCAGCAGCTGCAGGGGATGAGGCTACGACCACGAGACGTGTGCCGAACCTTATGGACATTAAATCAGGACCGTGAGATTGAGCTAGCTTTGCTAGAGAAGCATGAGGACGTTTTCTACCAACTTGGAAAAGATTTCCAATAAATGGCCATGAAAATGGACCTGGAGGAAGTGGTAATTTTGTTTTTGATGGATAGAAATATCGAAAAGTGATAACAAAAACGAGAGAAAGAAGAATTGGAGTGATTAAGTAATACATCATACACAGGTTGTTGGTTTTCTGATCAGTCCATTATGTAGCAACGCATATATAAAGGGCAAGACACCCTTTGTCACTTACACTAAACGTTAAAAAAAGAAAAAAAAAAATACTATAGACTTAAAAAAAATTATGGACTAAAATTCGAGAAAATTGATCAAAATGGTCCTTGATGTATTGGGGTTGCTTTATATTGGTCCTTAATATATTTTAGGTGATTGAAATAGTCCTTCATGTATGACAAAATGTGTTCAATTTAGTCTTTTACCTTAAAATTAACAATTTACCCCCCAAAAAATTGTTAAATATAACGGTGGGGCCTACATAACTTACAAAATCCACCATTTAAAAAAAGTTTCATGAATTCTAAAACACAATTTTCTCTAACATCTAACCACATAATTACAAAATAATTATGTAAAAAGATTGAATGAAATGGATAGTCAAAAATTTGATGATCAATAAGAGTGGAAATGGATCCAAAGGCAACAACACTAAACCGACCCAAATAAGAATCAACAACAATTGCCCCAACAATGGCCAATCCATTTGAAAGTACAGCGCATAATCCACGAATACTCTTACCAATAGCAGCACTCAAGTTATAATATGAGTGGTTAGATAATTATTCTTGAGAAGCACCAAGAATACCAGTGCCAGTAGCAGCACTCATGTTGCCAATAGCAGCATGCGTTCTACCAACAAATTAAATTTTTGATAATTCATTTCATTCAACCTTTTTACAATAGTTATTTTGTAATTGTGTGGTTAAATGTTAGAGAAATATAATGGTGTTTTAGAATTCATGAAACTCTTTATTTGAGCTAATAAAGATGGTAAAAATAGTAGATTTTGTAAGTTATGTGGGCTCCACCGTTATATTTAACAGTTTTTGAGGATAAATTGTTAAGTTTAGGGTAAAAGACTAAATTGAACACATTCTGTCATACATGAAGGACTATAACCCCAATACATTAAGGATCAAAATAAAGCAACCCCAATACATTAAGGACCATTTTGATCATTTTCTCACTAAAATTCTTAGGAGAGTAGAATCAAGGGAGAAACAGAATTGTACTCGCAATTTTGATGAATAAAGTTATGTTTCTTCATGTTTTAAAAAATAAAAAATAAATAAAAATTATGGACTTAAATATATTTTAGATATTATGTGATTATAAGTTCTAATGAAAGGTAATTTAACATTTTAATTCTTTTTCATATGAATTTAGTGGGGAGCACTGCACAATCATCCCTAGATTTGATATGATACGAACATCGAGATTTATGTTGCGTTTCGACATGCAATATGAAGTTATGAATTCAATCAGGATTTGAAAATGTAATTTGGGATTATGATTTCAAATTTCAATACATAATTTGAGATTTTAAATCATAGTTTTTATTTTTTATTTTAAAAAAAATATAAACTGGACCCATAAGCTTATATTTTGTAAAAAAAAAAAAAAAGACTAATCATTTTAAATTTTGTAAAAAAAAATCATACTCGGCGTGAAGAAATTATTCGTACCATGTGAGAGGATTAAATTAAAGAATAGTTAGTTATTACTATTGTTGGCTAGTGAGCTTATACAAAATTATGTGTATTTGAAAGTTTGTAATAACTAACATTTATTTATGATGAAAACTTACATAAATATGTTATATTAAGAAAATATTTACATTTGTAGCAATAACATATTTTTTACTTCAACACTTATAATAAAGTTTTAAAAGAGAAAACAGTTTATAAAACACATAATATACGGTTTATTGATGGATAATACATTTATCACATATTTTAATACACTTATAATACATTGTGTCAATTTCTTATCAAACAAACATAATATATTTGAAAACACTTATAATACATTTATATTGCATGCATAATTCATTTTTAATGCATAATGCAGATCTATTAGTATATTACTATTTATTGCTATAAATGATAAGAAATAAAGTTAAAATCAGTTATTATTTATTGAAAAGTACTCATCCAAGTAATTTTTCTATGTATAAAAGGAACAAGGAGATAAGGATTTATTAGGACTGTGATTTAGGAAATTTTGATATCTTATTATAAACACTATAGTTTACTCATTTAATAAGATCTATAAGAATGTGGAAATATGATAGTTTTCACAACTTATGAAGTTTTCAGGTTTATGAGGAAAATAAAACTTAAAAAATTCAAAGTGTTTATCCAAACAAAACTTTAAATGTCTTGCCTCATAGTCAAAGGTCTTGAATTCGAGTTTTAGTATGGAAAAAGGATCAAAAGAGCCTTTTGTTAAAGCTATACTTCTAAAAGAGACACCGATTTTAAAAATTGATCACCAAAATGAACAAATCGTGAAACTCTCAACTACGACTGAGTTCGAGTTTTGGTATAGAAAAAAGGGTCAAAATGGTCATATTATAAAGCTATACTTCTAAACATTATTTTTAAAAATATTTTTGGGGCAAGTCTTGGGACGAGGCGTATCAAAAACGCTTCAGGACGCAAATATAATGTGTAGATCAATAGAAAGTAAGTCCTAGAATTTGGGGCATAAAAAACGTAAGTCCTGATCGTAAAAGCATACGTCCTAGGTATTAATTTTTTTCTTTGGTTTTTAAATCATGTTTGCTTTAAATCATATTTTTCATTATTGATGTAGTAATATTTATATTTATGCTATTATATTTTTTTCAAGTTATAGTGATTTTTTCAAAAATGTATAAACAAACTCTCATATAAAATGACATTGATATATATAACTTTTTAGACAATCGTGTCTAAAATTGATAAGATAGAGCTTTCACAGCACTGTGTTCCTGAGATAACTTTATTTATTTTTTGTCATCACTCTTACGTGTTTTATTCATCTTCTTCTTTGTCAATTTAAAATTTCTTGTAATAATTGGTAAGACACAAATAGGCATATATAAATTATATATTATACGTTATATAACGCTATAAATAACAAACGTGTGTATCTTATATTTGAAATTTTTACAATTGAATAAATTATTATAAAACTCATATTCAAAATATTCTAGAAGTAGGAATATTAAATAAAATAAAATTGAGACTTCACTTGATTGAGTATAGCAATTAGAGTATCATTTTTATTTGTATATATTTTGTATTACATTTAATTATAAAAGTAGGTCTAAATCATAGTGATTGTTCCGCTTTAGAAGGCATTCAAAGGTAAGACAATGCATTTCTAAATTTAATTATATGATAACCTAATTAATTTGAGCTTGAAATGTCTAAAAACATCTGAAAGAATAGAAGACAATCTTACAAAGAAATTTTAAAATATGATTGATCATTCAAATTGAAGTGAATTAGACAAATTAACAAATAGAAAGTAACTACAAATTTAATTGCATTAAAAAAAAAAATTCAATTAATACTAACAATAAATACATACTCAATTATTTATTTATACATATTACCATTGAATAATTTTGAGGCCTTAAGAATGAAATATGCATGTAAATTTTTAATTATATTTTTTAAAAGAATAAATTAATATTCTTATTCAAGAAAATTAAATCCATGTATTTAGGTTAGTTATGAAGTCATTTTACAACAAACATAACGTGGGTCACGTTTTAAAATATTTCACTGCAAAAATTTTCAAATTAAACCATTAGAAAGCTACATAATATAATGTCTTCTCTTGCCCGTCTCCATCAGGAAAATTATTGGTGTTTTCTCAATAATTTATTTGTTTAAGAGAAAATGAAACTTCTGAATTTGAGTTTTTTTCCTGATTTTTTTTTTTTGGATTTTTATAGATTCTTTAGAAGTTTTAATTTGAGTTACTTAGTTCATTCTTTGCTTTTGAGCTAAATACAAGAATATTTTGTTCAGTTAATTTAACAAATAACGCATATATGGTAATGTCCTCATTTGAAATGATTTGGATTACAATTTTATGCGTAGAGGTGAATTTAAAATTTAACAAGCATTGTGTAACGACATGTTTCCGTCGTTATAGAAATGCCAATAGGGGAAAATTTGGGGTCGGAAAACTTTTTCGTAGTATTTGGATTTTCCCAATCTAGTCCAGATTTGGACAAAATCGGAGTCTTTGAGGTGTAGGGAAATCCGGTAACAATCGGGTGAATCATTTATGATTTTGATTGCATGAGTAGTTAGATAACTCGTTAAGGAATCCGTACGACTTTACGGAATTGAATTCGGGTGAGTAGAACTCCCAGAATTGACCTTAGCGTGAAGGGTATTTTCTGAGCGTCGTTGGTTAGGGGTGTGTTGTGAAATGGGGATTTTGGAATTCTTTAAATAGCTCATTGATTCGTGCAAGCCGCCTTGGCGGGGGTTTTGGCCTCTCTGACGAGGCCGTTGAAGCGGGATGAGGGCTGCTGTGGCAGGCCAAACGTGACTTAAAGTTGTAAATAAACCCCTAAACGACCTTATTATGCACTTTTTGACTTTTAGAGTTAAGGAACGAACCCAGACGACTCCTACTCGTTTTTCATCATTCTTGAGGCTAAAGGTAAGTTTTGCACTCTCCGAATCCGTTTTTCGATCCGTAGAACGTAATAGAATGGGTGAATATTGATGGGGTTTTGTTATAGATTCTATGGTGGAAACAACCCTAAATTGGATAATTGGGATCATGGGTATGATCTAGGGTTCATAGAATTGTTAGTAATTGGGCTAATTAGCGGTTGTTTATTGATTCCCATATTCTATTGATTGTTTGTAGACCAAGAACAAGCGGAACGAATCCGGAAAGGGAAGGATCAAGTTTCTTAGGGTTTCAAGCTTGTTTCGAGGTAGGCGATGATTGTGATTCTATGATTGTGTGATGTATGTTTGTTCTTGCTTCATTATGATACTTTTATATGTATGAATGTTGCAATGTGGATCACACTTGTTGTAAATGAGATAGAGGAATGATGATTGCCATGAAATCATGACTTAAATGTATGATCTTGATGATATACTTGTGATTGTGATTGTGGTGTGTTGCATGGATCTGTTGCCACGT